TCTATGAGATAAAAGAGATTGCCAGTCAAGAAATGTTTCTTTTAGATATATTAAAAAATTATATAAATTATGTAAAACCATATGTTTTTTTGAATATTATTGTTACTTTTTCATTAATAAACAACAGCCACATGAAGAAATGAAGTGCTACATACTCCTGTAATACATTATTTTACATCTTGGGAGGGTTGGCTCATCTGGACTAACAAAGAAGAAAATGAAAATGAAGAAATTCTCAAAAACTATCACATCTAGTGCATCCAGTATGACCACTGACAGATACCAGGACAATGTAAGCCTCACTGTTTCTGCACCACAGCCCATTATAAACCACATTATACATGACATTTACAAAGGCATTGGCTGGGGAGGATCAAGGCTCCTCTGGCTTTGCTTAATTAGATAAGCATGCAAATATTACCAAAATGTATTTTTTTGAAATACAACAGAAACACAAAGTAGAACTGACAGCCATAATTTCAGCTTGTGGTAAAACGGTGCAACATTTTTAATGGGCATTTAGCATGTGAAAGTACAAATTACATATTTGTGTGCACAGTGGGAAGCAATATCCAATAACATTTTTTTTCGGAAAGTATTCATTATTGGTCACTTGATAGGCACACGGTCTTGTTATATCTCATCATTAGCAGTAGCAGAAGTACATGTTTTCCACCAGGGCAGTAAAATATGAAGTTTACAGTGGATAGAAAAAGTCTACACACCCCTGTTAAAATGCCAGGTTCTTATGATGTAAAATAATGAGACGAAGATAAATCATATCAGAACTTTTTCCAACTTTAATGTGACCTATAATGTGAACAATTGAAATCTTTGAGGGGGAAAAGTGAAAAATAAAAACCCTCAAATAACCTGGTTGCATAAGTGTGCACACCCTTAGACTGATACTTTGTTGAAGCACCTTTTGATTTTATTACAGCAGTCAGTCTTTTTGGGTAGGAGTCTACTAGCATGGCACATCTTGACGTAGCAATATTTGCCCACTCTTCTTTGCAAAAGCGCTCCAAATCTGTCAGATTGCGAGGACATCGCCTGTGCACAGCCCTCTTCAGATCACCCCACAGATGTTCACAATTGGATTCAGGTCTGGCTGGGCCATTCCAAAACATTAATCTTCTTCTGGTGAAGCCATGCTTTTGTGGATTTGGATGTGTGCTTTGGGTCGTTGTCGTGCTGAAAGGTGAACTCCTCTTCAGCTTTCTAACCGATGCCTGAAGGTTTAGTGCCAAAATTGCCTGATATTTGGAACTGTTCATAATTCCCTCCACCCTGACTAAGGCCCCAGTTCCAGCTGAAGAAAAACAGCCCCACAAAAAATTATGCTGCCACCACCATGCTTCACTGTGGGTATGCTGTTCCTTGGGTGATGTGCAGTGTTGTTTTTGCGCCAAACAAACCTTTTTTATTATGGCCAAAAAGTTCTACCTTGGTTTCATCAGACCATAACACATTTTCCCACATGCTTTTGGGGGACTTCATGTTTGTTTTTGCAAACTTCAGCCCGTGCTTGGATGTTTTTCTTTGTAAGAAAAGGCTTCCGTCTTCCACCCTACCCCAAAGCCCATTCATATGAAGAATACGGGAGATAGTTGTCACATGTACCACACAGCCAGTACTTGCCAGAAATTCCTGCAGTTCCTTTAATGTTGCTGTAGGCCTCTTGGAAGCCTCCCTGACCAGTTTTCTTTTCGTCTTTTCATCAATTTTGGAGGGACGTCCAGTTCTTGGTAAAGTCACAGTTGTGCCATATTTTCTCCACTTGATGATGACTGTCTTCACTGTGTTCCATGGTATATCTAATGCTTTGGAAATTATTTTGTACCCATCTCCTGACTTATATCTTTCAACAATGAGATCTCTCTGATGCTTGAAAGCTCTCTGCGGACCATGACTTTTGCTCGGAGATGCAACTAAGAAAATATCAGGAAAATCCTACTAGAACAGCTGAACATTATTTGTGATTAATCAGAGTCACTTTAAATGATGGCAGGTATGTAATGACTTCTAGTTAACCTGAGTTTGAATGTGATTGGTTAATTCTGAACACAGCCACATCCCCAGTTATAAGAGGGTGTGCACACTTATGCAACCAGGTTATTGTAAGGTTTTTATTTTTAATTTTTCCCCCTCGAAGCTTTCAGTTTGTTTTTCAATTGAATTGTTCACATTATAGGTCACATTAAAGGTGGAAAAAGTTCTGACATGATTTATCTTTGTCTCATTATTTTACATCATAATAACCTGGCATTTTAACAGGGGTGTGTAGACTTTTTCTATCCACTGTAGCTGCTGATCTGAGCTTCCCTGCTGTTACCGTTTCATTACCAATAATATTAATCAGCTTTTTATCTCACGAAGGTAACGGCACATTTCTGTTCACATAACAAAGCCATAACAGAGTGCTGGAGAAGAACTACATGAAGTTACAATCCAACTATATATTTTTTCTACCAGCGCAGTAAAAGTTTAGCTGGCTGATCTGAGCTCCGATGCTGGAAGCTGCCATTTTATTGCCAATTAGCGATCAGCTGATTCTCATGAAGGTAACATACAAAGCCAAAATGTTTTTCTACCAGTCAGTAAAAGTTTAGCTGGCTGATGCTTCCATGCTCTAAGCTAACCTTACGGTTTTATTACCAATTAACATTACTGATCAGCTGATTGTCTCGCTAACGTAACTGTAACCAGCAAAGCCAAACCACAGGCTGGAGAATAAGTAGGCGACATGAAATTAATCCATATTTCACACCACTGACAGGGGAAACATGTCAAGTCGCTCGTGATTATGGCCAGCTAATAGCTAAATCTATCAAACAACAGTTTGCATTTGCATCGCTAAAGTCTGACAAACAAAGTTAATTACCTGTCCAGCAGAAAACAGACAACTTCAGTACCGCTTTGAAAACTTCTGTCCCACATTAACGTTATAGCCTTCCATCTGGGAAAATCCACAAAATCCGTGATTTCTGCCGTCAGCTGTCTGTCCCGACTCCATGTTGCTGTCGGCTCTCGTGCTAAATAACACGTGTGTGCTCCTTCATTTGTCCAAATGTCACTTCTCTTCTTACTTCTAATAAACCAGAGACTGTATATTACTATTATTATTATTCCCTCTTCTTCTTCTTTGTACGTATTCCATGTAGTGAGGGGCGTCTACACTACCGGAATTACACAAGCAGAAGAAGAACGCCGTGATGACGAAACACGCTCTGTAGCGCTGTTTGTCTGTTGTCGTCTATGGTAGAAACATGACGACAAAATACAGCAGCCTCCAGGGGGTGCCCGCGGTTATGTAGATATAAATATCTCATTCTAAGGTAATAAAAACATAATGGTTCATTATGCAAGGTCTTTATACACCACTGAAAACGTAGTTATGGATCTTATATTGAATTTCTGTCAATAGAGCCTCAGAAATATTACACACTGGACCTTAAGAGTGTACTTACTTCTGCTATAAATAAGGACAGTTGTACACACGCATTTGTTATGATTACATTATGACCAAAAACTAGAAAGTCGCCAACTTTGCTAACACAGCCAAACATCAAGCAAGTGCTAAACACAAGAAATTAATATTACTTACAAGTCTAGCTGTGTACACAAAAATAATGCCAGCTCGGTGTCTGTCTCACAGCCTTTCATTTTCCTTGCTTGGTCACTCTCTTTTTCTATTTTTTGCTTCCTTCTTCAACGTCCTTTTTGGTCTCTTTGCCTCTGCCATTTGCTAATCTTACCCTCCATAGAGACTGCTGAGCCCGGTTATGTTGCCCACTCGCCCGTCTCCAACACAACACACACTGAGAATACTAAGCTAGCTTCTTCCAAAGAACTTACGTTGTATATTATATAGTTTTTTCTTCTTCTTATAGCTAGCTTACTGAAGAGTTTTTGTTGTGTTGTGGTGCCAAAAAGCATTATGCTGTTCTCACGACAGAAATCCGGCCTGGGATTTCCTGCTTACACAGTGCCACAGAAAACTTCCACGGCCCGGAGAGGCAATGATCAATGACAAATCAGTGCACCATCAAAAAGTATAAAAGTAAAATACGACATAATGTTGCTTTAAATGTTGCATTACAACTTTTACATTTTTGCCTGTAGATGGGAAATGACAGACTGCTGGGGTTCTTGTGAATCAGAGTCTGTATGGGAGACTTCTGATGTTCTTTCTCGCTTAGAAGCTGTGAGAGAAAATAACTGTGAAATGTGCAAATGAGGCCCATAAAAACTAAACTCCATCTGGGGTCAACAACAGTGAGTGAGATGGGTATGGAGGCTTTAAATTGATTAGTGAGAAAGATATGGGGGAGAAACATAAAGGATAATCCTAATGTGTCTGCTCTCACAGATTCATAAATACAGCATATCAGCATTGCAACATAAACCTGATACCAAGAGGTATTTGTTATCATTTAAAAATGCTGAGGCTAAACAGTTTGATGATCTTTCCAATTTTTGGAAGCAAGATTAGGCATGGAACAACAGCTGACAGGGAAGACACACTTAGACAATAAGACAACGCAGTAATCAGTTTAAGTTTTAGTCTGGCTGCTGCGGCATCGATGATTGGGTTTCTTTTTTATTGCGTAATTCACGTTTTCAAAATCAGACCCCATCAATGTATAACAGCCAGATGTTAGATTCCAGTGACAATTGTCCATTTTATATCTCTCCATCTAAGACCAGTTTTCAGTTTATTCACCCCGCAGTCTAAAACTTAATTGTCCAGACTTTTTATCACAAAGTGAAGATGTCTTCCAGTTGAGAGGCAAAGCCCAAAAGACAAAACACTTTTCTCTTGACAGATGCTGGCCCTTAATCCATTCAGAAAACCTCTTGTCAGTGAGTAGACAATTAAAAGCTGAGGCAGCAAAATTAAAGCAGAGACTCAGTCCAGTTATTCATTATTAGATTTTAAAGCTCTGTCTCAGTTGTCACTTAAATGTTACACACTCAAACATCACAATAGCTGATGTGTTGTGCCACACTGCCTACCTGTAGACTGGCTGCATCTCTCTGGTAATGCCTATTACCGCTCCTGGAGGAAACTGGTCAAATTCTTGGAAGAGGTCCCGGATGTTGGTCCTGTATTTCAGGTCCAGGTCAAGCTGCACTATGCGCGTCAGACCTGCGAGCAGAGCATAAAATACTGATAAAGCAGCATCAAACTTTAGAAAAACATCTAAGATTATTCTAAACATGCATCAACTACTAAAAGAATGGTAGTTGTTTGACAAAGAACAAGGACCTCCCCCAAACTTGGTCCTCCCCGTGTGAATTTTTGATGAATAATAATGTATTTTCTCTTATATGATGAAAATGAGTTATCCATTAAAAAAATTATCTCGGGAAATGTACTTCTGAGTCAACTGTGTATGTAGGTTGAATTTCTCTGACCATTCATCAACATCCGGTGACTGTCTGCCTAATCACTTCTAAGAACCCATCCACACTACTCCATTTTAGTTTACAAACTGAGAATTAAAACGAATACGATCTCCATCCACCACCAGCGTTTCCGCTGCGGTTTGGAGTTGATCTACGTCTACATTAAAACGACTGAAAACGCACAGCTAGGACCCATTCAGGTGCACTGGGCACACGCGTGCCAGTACAAACATGAAGCAGATGGTCTATTCCATAGTTACAGAAGATTTGGCGAAAGAACAAATAAATACAGACTAAGCATCAGACCAGTTATAGACCAGTTTTTTTGTTGCATGGATCAATAACGAGCTGGGACTGTTACTGAAGGTAACACGGGAGTGTGGCTGCAGAAAACAGACTGGGAGTTGTTGCAAAGTAAACGGCGACATGCACAGTACAAGTGTACAGAATATTTTAATAAAAATATGATGTCAAAAACCCGGTCAGCAGCATTGTGTTTCTGTTTTGCAAGACCCAATCAGAGAGCCGAGCACGAGCGTTTTGAAACACAAAACGGGGTCGCAGCGTTTTCAAAACTTCGTTTTCATCGTTGTAGTCTGGACGGGAGGTGCAAACATAGCAAAAGGTCTCCGTTTTAATTTGAAAACGCAGTAGTGTGGATGGGGCCTAAGAGTCCTACAAGGAATATACAGAGGAAATAATAGTCTGACAACACTCTTGAAAAGATTAACACAATTAAATTGTTTCTCTGCAGTGGTGTTTTTGGCTTCTGCTTTCTGTATTATTACCATTTACCTAAAAAACAAAAGTGCATGAAAAAGTCTTTAAATTGTGTGGAGAAATGTTTAGAAAGTTCAGCATGACTATAAAAAAAGTGCACGTTTGGCAGTTGTGAATGTCAGCTCAGTAAATTATTAGCACTGTATCTTGTTTGTGGATGAAACTGGAACGGCAGTATCCAGGATATTCAGGCCCTCATCTGTTCATTGTTTCAGCTTCCTATGTTTTGCTGGTTGGCATGGTGACGAAAGGATAATACTCAGGAATGGTGTGCCAGGGGCGCAACAGGATAATTGAACTGATGAAAACACTTGTCGGCTTAAGAAAAACTGTCAAAGACGGTAAACCTTTATCGACAGCGCAAAAGGTTGGTTTGACAGCAACTGCAGAATTGGTATAACCGATGCCGGAGGACGAGGGTACTTCAAAATAATGAGCTGAATGGGTTCATGTATGCATCGTGAACAGTCAGAGCTCAATTCAACATGAATTTAGATCTGATTCATTTCTTCAAAGCCTTGTTGAGATCCAGCAGCCAGCAAGTGTAAAACTTACATAATTCTGCAGAACAAAATGTGTACTAGTATAAGGAGAGACAATTTTATTTTGTTGCATTATCCATTCAGTATGTAAACAAGATATGGGTTAGAAGGAAAACAAAAAGGCTACACTAAATAATTTAATTTTTGCTCCTCTCATCTTGTGTCTAATGTATTTTACAAAACAGCACTGCATTTGTGTCTTGCTTCTATAATTTGGGTGTCCAGCTAAAAAGTGGTGCATCCTAAGATTAAAAATTTTAATAAAATAAAATAAATATATTTTATGGAGATACTGTTAAAAAGTTGGTAATCAGACCATAATCAACTTACAGTTATTGTTCAAATTGCAGGCAGCGTTTCCCATTAATAACAGAGACTATAGCGGCACGCCGCAGTCAAATTTGTTCCACCATAGTTTCAAAATGAACCGAAAATATTTTTACACTTCTCATACCTTAAAGACCTCAAACGTTGAGTTTTGCGCCACTGCTCCCTGCTGCATCCGACTGGAGACAAACACTTTTCTTTTGAGGACACAACATTGTTTGAGGTAAGTACGATAATGTTAACTAAGAGTTTGAACAGGTTTGAGTGTATCCACTGTCACTCATTTGTGAGAACACGGTCAAGCTAGCCGCACATACAATTGCAGTGCACACGTATTAGAGCCTTATGGTAAATGCACTGAAACGGAGCAGAGCGAGCTGACAGGATGGGTTAGTGACTATTTAGTATAACAGGGTTAGTGACTAAAAAACATGTGTTGCAATATGGAGAGTTTTACCTGAAGAGAGGCTATGAAGTCTTAATTGTGGGCGACATGAGCACCACATAAAATATAATTGATCAAATTGCGACAGTATGGAAATAATTGAATGGATTATATTCACAGGAAGTATAAAACATGTTACATGTGTCCATTAAAAGTAATGCTCCCGGACCTATGAGGTCCGAGGTCCACTGACCATAGTCTCACAAAGTCCTGTGGGAACAACTTTGGCCTCAACAAAGCTCAATAAAACTGTGCAAAACAATAAAGGGTGTATACTACGAGGAGATTGTAGCTGGACTACAAGTTGGTGCTCCAAAGATATCTGAGTGCTGGTTTCTCTTGAAATAAGTGACGGAAAAAAGAAGATTCAGCAACACGGAACTGACCGGTTTTCTGTGCTCTCCAAACAAGGAAGCTGCCATCACAATGCCTTTATGTACTGTGGCAACACAGAGGGGCTCGGAAGAGTAAACTCCGAGCGGTGGGTGCTGTTTGTTTGTACTAACAGGGCTTAACTAGTGGAAGTGTAACAGGAAGAGAGCCTTCAGTTATTACAACATTGTGATGTGATGGGTTTAATGTTTGATCAATGACTCAACACAAAGTCCTGTGGGGGTGAAAGGAGGGCTTTGTGTTAGGTTTTGTTTTATCAGAACATATTATGATATCACTAAAAATGTTATTTAAATGTATTACAAGACTCTGTTGCCTCTGTTGAGTTTGCTACAGATCAAAACATGAACAACTACATGCATACACATGTATTACATTTAGAATTTAGTGTATTTCAATTGCTCACAAAAATTATGCAACACTATTTTACAGCTATATTCTAAATACATTTTTCAAATAGGTACTTCATATTATTATATGTAGAAATGTGAGAGGGTTTAAACTCAGTGATTATTGGAGGTGAAATTATAACTAAGGATTTTGGTGGCTTTCTTTGAAATATACCTGGATCTTTTCATTTATTGTTTAAACTGACTTTCACCTAGATTTACTTTTTGTCTCCTTCCAGCAGCATTAAGAAAACTCAGACATTCTTGAGTGGCAGACCTCTTCTGAATTATAGGTCTTAAAAGGATGAAGAACATAGAGGATATGAAATATAGGAAACTAAATGTACTGGAGGAGAGACATAAATAAGTACGAGTCCACATAAGTAACAGTTTTATTTAAATAATCCTCCAAATATTTATGTTGTTCGGAAAAGAATGAGCCCCTCTGTGATCAAACTGTTATTGAACAAAATGGATAAGTAGAAATTAAGGGGGGTAAAATCAGTCATGCATGTGTGTTGTAAATGTATTGCAAGAATAAATGTTGTTTGCGTGGCTTGAGGCTCTGGTCAGATGAGACGGTGCTGTTGACTAAACCTCAACAGCACTAAAACAACAGAGACGCTGTTGTTTTCGAACATCACATTTTTTGTCAGGAAGAAAGTGGGTCAACCTCATTATGTCCTAATGTCAGTCTTGATGTGAGCACTTGCAGCCTATTTGTAAGGGTCATTGTTTTCTGCTTTTACCAATATTCCCTGGAACCACCCTGGATTTTTTGGGAGGTCAATTAATTAATTTTTCTTCTCATTATGTTCCCGTGCATCCAAACGTTTACATGTTTACTGCTGCAAGAAAAAACTGTCTCTTGCTGTATGAAGTAAACAGGATCCTCTAGTCCCAAGCACCAGTTAGAAAATGCTTCTGGAAACAAAGTGAAGAGAAAACAAAAACACATATAAGCTTCAGAACAGTAAATAAAAATCAATAGTTTTTATAGGTATTTATTATCCATATTGTATTTTTAAATGCATTAAATCTCTTTTTCATTTGTCACATGCAGTAGTTATGTTAATGTTATTTATTTATTGTTTCAAATAATACACAGAATGGTAGAGTTTTTAAATAAGACAAAAAAATACTAGTTTTAAGTTTAGACTTAAATTACTGACGTTACTCTTCTCCAGTATGACTTTAACACAAGTTGACCATAAAAAGTAACACTGGACACTTGGCAGCCAGTGATTAATAGATCTGCCGCAGTTACGTTAGCGACAGTATAACGTAACTGGCTAGCTAGGCTACTCCAAGACACCTGCCCAATCAATCAAAACGGTTTAGGTGGCCTTCAAGATACAACGATCTATAGTGCACGGCCTAAAGGACATGGTGCAAGTGCATTTACAGCGTCCACCTCCATCTTTGCTTGTTCAACAGCCCATAATTTGGGTGCAAACCAAGGTACAAGGCACAAAGGGGTTGTATTTAGTCTCTTAGTTATTCATAGGTGTGTTTTGAGCGTAACATGAATTAAACCAAGTGTTATCTGGGTAAAGTGTTACTTTAATGATTAGAGAGAATCCTGTCGGTGCAACCTGACTGATCCTGTCGGCATGTCGGGAGATTTAAATTATCAATGTTTTGATTTACACTGCTGTGTCTCATGCACAAATGTGTAAAGTGTCTGTGTACAGTTTGCATGAAACCCTTTGTTGACTTAAAAGTATATAACTGGGCAACCCCAGCTGCTGCGGACTTCACCATAATGTGCCTGTTAAGCCCACTGGTCTAGTGAGAGGAAGTCAGGACATATAAATTCAGCTCTAGCCCGATCCACTCCACCATCCCACTCATGTTCAACACTGGCCTGTTATTTTACATCAATGAGTCCATGAGGAAAAGTAATTAGGTCTGTGTTATCAGCTCTGGAGAAACAGGTTGGAGGTATTAGCAGTGTTGTCTATTAAAGTTGTTTTAAAAAAAGCAATACAGCATGTGTTAGAACTGTTAAAAATCACAAAAGCAAGGTGTTGGTGCTTTATCTTGGAATTTCACCAGGCTTCCAGGTACCATGTTTCTCACTCAAGTCCCAGCATGTTGAGACAAGGGGATACAAAACATGGAAACAAAAACAGTGTTTCTTAGGGACCTAATGATTAAACTTGGGAGTGTGAGACTTTTACATAAATGAACGTCCGTTCATTCCAGCCCTTGCAAAACGAGTTTACACCATGCTGATTAAGCCTATAACTGACTAAATCTCTGTATTTTACAATGTACCTGAGTGGTGGGGGGGTCAACCATAGCGACAGCAATAACTGAGAATGGTAGAGGCTATGCATTATGACCACGTGTCAACAGTGTTGTGTAATTACTCTCACTGACAGAAGGGAGAGACAAAAGTTCTGTTTAATTACAATAGGTTTCCATTGTGCCATTTTTTTGAATTATTATTATTTACCGGTTATGAAATGGTGGAAAAGGATTTATTTTCTTTGCCAAAGGAAAACAATTAAAACGTGATATGTGCGAAGCAGTTGAGCAACAGTAACAAAAGACCTGATCTACTTTAATCATTACTTTGAGTGCAGACAGGGCAGAAATTGAAAGTCTGCTCACTAATTCATCTGCACTTCTGTTTGTGTAGACATCAATCTGATATCTGCAGACAGCTGGCTAGCTGGCATTAGCTACCCAGCAGGGACAGGCTGAAAAAAGTAGAAGTCACACGCTGTTCACTCAGCTTCTGCGGCTTGACATCTTGTAGCCAGAGGTAATATCTCCACAACAAACACAAACTGAGAGCTCAGATGTGTCTTTTTTCAGTCTTTCCGTGTGATCTCTAGCTTGGCTACGAGATAGCCACAGTCAGCTGACCATCCCGAGTCACGACAGTCTTAAGATATTGGATCATTAAAAGAAAAAGCGCAACTACCCTGGCACTTTTATCCCTAAACATTCAGTTGAGATATTGAGGTATTTCCTTCATTTTCTGGAGATATTTATCAATTAGCCTTTTGCTAGTTTATGGCTGTGACATTAAAATGAGGGTGTTTGTCTTCATGTTTTTGTGTGTATTAAAATGTTTTTATTTTTGGTAGTAGTCCCAGGCGTTAGATTGGGCTCTACCTTCTAAATGGCTGTTTCAGCCCGCTCGTTTCACATTGTGAATCTGATGTCTGACGAAAGGTCCATGACCAAAACGTGTGTAGATCTACACCATGGTGACACCGAAAGCCTTTTCTAATAAACCATAATAGATCAATAAAGCATGTGACTGTTTGTGTTGTGACATTAATGTTATTATAAGCAAAATATTGTTGTGTATTGTACAAAAATAAGAATTTATAAAAATACTGTTGAGTACAAAATAGACTGCTGTTTTAATGAAAGAAATGTCTGTGTTTCTGAGTCTAGACTCCAAATGTCTAATAAAAAGTAAAGACCTTGCAAACATTTTAACTTCACATTTATATTGAGCAAACAGGCTATGTAGCTGGCTTAAGCCGAAAGTGCTGACAATTTCTTCCTTCTCTTTTGACAACTAAATTAAACTCGCCAAAATCACATCTCCCACTTCACAAGTTAGTGGATGTTAAATTTCCAGCCCTCCCACTTGCAGCTGCTATTTATATTTGTGTTTCACTGTCATTAATCATAAACGATGTTCTGTGTCTGCTGTGAGGCTCGCTGAATGAAGAGTTTTAGAAAAAAAAAAGGTTAAATTAAAGATGTATTGTGTGAAGAAAATAACACTGGTGGAGATTTGTGCACCACGTAATCCACTCTCTCTCGGTTAAGACAACCACGTTATGCCCTTTATAGATAAAAAGCTGTCTTTAAATAGAAATGTGTGACCACTTGGACACACACAGCAGACATGTGCCACATGGTTGATCAATAAGGACACAACGTGACACGAGACACACACCTCCAGTTCTGAACGGAGAAAAAACGTCTGCTGAACAAAACACCCGGTGCCACATTGGCAATATGTTTAAAATCTTGTCAAAACAACTTTGTGCTCCACCACAAATTACTTTTCAGAACTGACAGCGGAGTGTCAACCATGCACTCAAAACATTTTCCCCCAAGCACAATCTTTTATTTATCATCCTGTTTTGCCTGAAGTCATTCATGTTTTTCTTCACTATTTTCCTCTTCTGTTCTCTAATTGAAATCGTACTTTACAGAGTAATTTAAATAGCATACTTTGATGTGCTATGGAGGACCTTAAAGAAAACATGAATTTGACCACTGGGGTTGTCAAGCCTTCAAATGTGGACATCTTTCTTTGGTGGAAAGCTAATAAATGAAGAATTTCAGCTTACAGCTCACTGAAATGAATCTTGAAATCCCAGTACTGCCATGTTTATGGAAATAGTTTAATGTGTGTAACTTCTGAAAAACAGAAACTCTTCCCTTCACAGTGAAAAGCACATCAGTACAAGCCTGCACCAAGTTTTAAAAACCTCAAACGGGAAGGTGCCCTGCTGTCTGCAAGACGGAGACTTCAGGTTTCATATGTGTGCCTCTGGATGTTTTGGTCCATTTGTGGAGTGATGCCCCATGCTGCACATCCACTGAAGTGAACCACAACAGTGCACAAAAGAGAAGGTCGCTGCCATTGGTCTGCACCAGCACAGGGGGCACCAATGTGGGCAGCAGCAACATAACCCACCCTTCCTTCCTCGCTCCCCAGGGCCTCTGCAGCATGCCACGTGTCTCTTAGATACCTGCCCATACTGACTTTTCCAGCTGTGCACCAGCAGTGAACTGAGCATCTAAGTGAATTTGAAACATGGTCTGCTAGAGACTAGGGCTGGGCGATATGGCCTAAAAATAAAATCTCCGATTTTATTTACTTTAATTCAATTTACGATTTTTTCCGATTTCCCCCCCTACTTAAGGAAAGCAATAAGGTTTGTTGGTCAGTGCGGCTTTGTTCATCGCGGAGAGACTGGCATTTTTCATATTCGGCTGGATGTCTCTGTTTCAGGTGTTGGAATAGGTTTGTGTGCTGCTGCCTTTCACTGCGATAGGCTTTAGGCAAATGTTGCAGCGTGGTGTCTGTTGTTCCACATCTGTCGCAGCAAACCCATACCAGTTCCAAACAACAGATGACTTTATTCCTTTCTTGGGAACAAACTTCCCGCTCTCACCGGTAGCCATTTTGTCGCTTGCTGTTGCTGTTTAGTGTATGATGTTGTCGCTATGGGAAACGAACACTACGGAAACCCCGGGGAGCCAAAAATGTGCTATTACACAAAAACTCGATTTACTTATTTTTTAAATCGCCCGCAAAAAAAATTCGAATTAATTCATTCAATCGATTTTTCGCCCAGGCCTACTAGAGACTCAAAGCAGAATACTAATTTCAAGTCATATAAAGTAACCTATAACAGTATGCTTTTCTTAGATGTAATGTGTAGACCCTTTTTCAGCCAGTAGGTAAATTAAGTAATTTAATAACTGAAAATACTGAAAGGTTTTTCTTACTTCCCAAATTTTCTTCTGGTGTCTGCTGTGTACCACTTCCTCCGCACAGAAAGTGACATCTTGAAACTTTAAGGTGCAATTCTTGATCGAAAATTGAAGGGTAGGTCCAATAGCAGTTTTTAAAATACAGCATTGCAACCTGCTTTCATGTTGAATGACAGAATTTCAATACACAGGAAAATACTAATCATCAATCAAATCTAGTTTTGTTATGTTTTCTGTTAAAGGTTTGTTTACATCAATAGTGTCTAGGCTATACACATACTACATAACATTTACACAAGAGAAAATTCAAAATACAAGAACACTGGTGAATGCAACAAGTTCTTCTACATCGCCCATACAAGCCACTTAAGAACAAATCTGCTCGTGGTTCTTGTATGAGGCCAATTGTTTCTAGAAAGACATATTGTAAATGTAATTTGTTAATGCTTAGAGCGCCACTTAACCCAGTTGTTTTTGGGTGGTGGCAGAAATCCCACAGACAGATTTCTCAAAACCTCTGTAAACAAAACCAAATAGTTCTTTCCTTACTTTCAGGCATGATGTGATGCATGGCAACAGACAGGAAGAAGATGGCGTCACTGTAGTAAGCCCCGGAGCCGGCGCTGAAGTGCTTCTGCATGGCCTCCACAATAGGGAACAGTTTCTGTGTGAGAGCCACCACGTCATGGAACAACACCTGCAACACAGAGGAGTTAGTAAAACAATGTCCTGACTGCATTACAGCTGGGAACTACTAAAGATGCCATTTTATGAGACTATTGAGATTTTTCTAATTGTAACATGGCATGACAACAGTCCAGTTTGGACTGTTATGAGAGACAGTGAATGCCTCATACCAACCTCAACAAAGTGTTTTCTGTGGGTAATTATCTTTTTTTATGCACAAAAAATCATTTTGAAAACAGGATTACATTATACTGAATTACACATATACTTTATTACGATATTTTGCCAAAATAATCATAATATTTGAATTTGTCAGCAACGACAAGCCCTCCACTGCAGGTGGCTGCATTTTCCCATAAGAATCAGAGAGTATGGGACATCTTTCAAAACCAACTCATATGCAGAATATGGGCCCAGAAGCTTAGTCCACAGGGACTTGGCCTGGAGAGCAGAGGGTGGCCAGTTCATGTCTAGAGTGAAAAAAATGAATTTCCCCAAGGGGACAAATTAAGTAACTTAATGAGTGAAAACTGATAGTGACACACACTAATGAAAATTAGTTTAAACCCATCTACTGTGTTCTTTAAAATCAGAACAAATTAAAATGACGAGCTTTACACAGGAAAGGAAGGTTAAATGTTTTGACTACAAATGATGCTTCATATGTTGGCCAAGTTCCTTGCCGCTCAGTGCTGCTACTCTGAGCTTTAAATCCCACGACAGCTGCAAGGCTGCAGTTTCTGCTCTGATCATGTACACTAGATATTCTCTACAGATTACTGTATGAGGATTTTTTAAATATAGAAAGCAGTGATTATTATTAAATATTTCCTGCAGAGGGAAAAAAAAAATATGTTGGCTTGGGACAGACCGTATTTCCTGAGGAGATCCTGGCCTTTTCTGGTTAAGCCTGGCATCAATAAGTGTGTATGTTAGAGGCTTCAGATAAATCCTGGACAATATGGCAGTCATATTTTAAATCAGGCCTCGATGGGCAAACATAATTTAATGATCCCTGGCAGATTAAGGTAAGCCCTCAGCTGTTTTTTGAAATCAGTGCTGTCCTGGACTGCTGTCTATAATGTGATATAATGGCACATAAATAAAGGCTGTGGGTAGAATAAGTAATATTGTTTAAGTCCTGATAAGTAATCACTGGTACTACAAAGGACACATTTACATTTTATGCACTTGCAGTATTAGATTTGCATACCTTAACTTACTCTAGTTATGCAAGCTGTATCACAGTGCTAATATCAGATCATCTATGTTTACCACAGGGGGCATCTCATTTCCACGTTTTGCTGCTCTGGTTTCCACAGTTCTCAGTGCAGAATAACAATTTTATCCAAAACATATTTAAGCCAAGTTGAGGGAAAACATTGTGCGCAATGATGTCGCACAATGTCTTCCACTGCAATGAATACAACTTGGTCAAACAGGATTAACGGTAACTATGGATAGAGAAACTTACAAACTAGGACAAACTTAATTCCACCTTTTATAACATTTTAAACATTTTTTGTCTGAAAGATTCTTGTAAATTTTATCAACTATTTTGTATGGCCTTTCACTAACAAACAACTTATGGAGGAAAATCAGCTAAACCATAATTTCACTACCTTCCCCAGCGAACCACAATAAATAATGCAACATAGTTTTGTTGTTTTTTTCAAAAGAGGGTGAGTTACTCATCATTTGATATGTTGAGAACAAAAGTGTCTTTTGATTTCATTTGCAATTTTAGTGTTGTGATGGACGATTACTAAAAAGCAGGACATCATCAACAACAAAGACTAGGTACAAAGACAGGGAAATTTTATCAATGCACAGTAAAGGCTTATGTGGGAGTATTTGTAAGGCCTAGAAGGCTGACTAACTACACCAAGCCATCGTTTTGACTAATATAATTTGTGGCAGATTTTTTGTGCATACAGTATATGTAAGTAATATTATTAGTTCACAAACAAAACTAGCTGCACAAAGTTGACCTTATAGGCTGGAGATGTTTGGCAGGTTGTACTGTTTTTTTGAAGAACTGCTAGATGCTAGTACCGACCAAAATGTATTTTTCTGACTGTTGTGGCCAGGCTTGCTTAATGCTTACCATAACTTCTGCTGAATAGAGGATGAAAATTGACTATGTCCGACTATGTTTTGAACGCTATCCATTCAAAACATAGTCGGACTTGCCACTAGCAACATTGCCCAGCAACACTGCTCAAAAAGTTGCCCCGTGTATCATCAGCTTAAAACATGTGTATCTACTTTTTACAAATTGACAGTTGCTTTGTATTGACTGGAGCCTGCTAATCTAGCTGTAACATTGTGGCACTACCCTGTTGTCAGTTACAAAATATTCTCAAATACACACTCGTAAAAAAAAAACAAAAAAAAAAAAAAACATTTCATGAAGTGACGGCTTCAGTGCAGAAAGACTCCAGTATGTTGTGCAGTAATGAGCACAGCCCCTGGGCAGTGTGACTCTGCAGGCTGTTTGCTGCGAATGTCAAGTGGGTCACTGAAGTTACCGCAGTTGGGGAAGTGATGGAGGCTAAACTCTTGCATAACTACTGTCTCTAACCCTCATGTGCCTTTAAGATAAATAATAAAAAGGGATGACACTCGAGATGAGCAGACAAGGATGTCAACATGCTCATATACACTGCCTGTCGGCCCCCGGGGGACTCCCCGTCCCATCTGTAACTTTAGCAGGACTCTATGTGTACCGGTGCACCACATCAGGAAAGACAGAGGAGACAGAGGCTGTACTTGTATCAGAACATTATTTCATGATTCATTACCTCAAACCATGATGTTTAACAGCGCTGGTCTGGAATGACACCATGAAACTGAGAATGGACACTAGATAGGGAAATAGGAAACAAGGGGAAAGAGAGGTGGGGAATGACATTACATTATATAATCTTACGCTTTTATCCAAAGCAACTTGCAATTGTTGTACACCACTGCAGCAGCTAGGGGTTAAATGTCGTGTCTTGGATGTGTCGCAATTGAACCTCGGCCTCCCACACCAAAGGCATGTGTCTTATTCACTGCACCATCGCCATTCGACATGCAACAAAGAGAGTCGCACTGGGGACATTACCCCCAGCCAAAGATATGTTTTGAGGCAATTTAGAAGCAGTTGCCTTTTCATACAAATAAAAAAATATATATATATTTTTCAACCATTAAATGTACCACCCAATACATATGCTGGTCACAAATCTTTATCAAATGTATTGCTGCTATAAGTGCTACTGAAGCTTTTTGAGGTAGATATTTACTGATATTTCAACAGAATTTAAAAATCTGATAAAATATGGTTGATTGTAATCAGTTTTGTAATATATGCATTACATAAACATATTTTTTCAGGCTTTTGCTTTAATGAGATGGTTTAGCTGGAGAGGGTCAGGAAATGCTGAAGAGAAAGAGGGGGCGACATGCAGCAAAGGGCTGCGGGTCGGACTCCAACCCTGCCGGCTGTGACGGAGTCTTAATACATGGGCCGTGCACGCTACCATCAGAGCAAAACGCATAAACAATCTTGTTACAGATGCCTAAAATTTTTAAGGACTGTGACCAGGCAACACACTGAGTGGACATTTCACAGCTGAAAAATCAATATGTCAGGGCTTTCTGTTGGACAAACTACCTTAATTACCTCGAGCCTGGTTTGGCATTTCTGTACAGCAATTTCTTGTAACTTATCGGCTGACATGCACACCAATAACGATATACTGTAATAAGCCAGTGTAGACCTCGCAGATCTGCTGGCTCTAATCAAAATGTTACTAAACTAAATCCAAATCCAGTATAAGTCAAGCTCTGCAATGTACTCTTAAATTGCAATGTGCTGAGAGCGAACACTTCCAATGACTAACGGCACTATATCCTTAGGTTGGTTAGTAAACTTGTACCTCTCTCTTATAAACTTGAAATATTTCACAATATCTACACTGTATTTCCACAGCAACACTCTGCTTTTAAATCATCCCTCCAAAAAGTGTTTCTTTTTGCCAAAATGTTTGGATATTTGTTTGTGATGTTAATTAGAAGGAGCTTCTATATTCTATGGCCCCACAACATCTTGCTAATACTGCCAATACATTGTACTACCTGTCCTACAAATGTGTTTTGTATCTTGGTTAACTATTAGTTATACAAAGAGCAACAATTAGTATTGGCCGAGTAATACATTAAAGAAAGGGGTGAGGGATAATCTCTGCAGGGGCTGTATTTTTGAGAAAGAGATCATGCCTGGTCCTCTCTAACAACCTGGTAACACCACAGATCCTTTTTATATTAGAGAAGCAAGTGTCACAGCACTTAACCATCACACCTGAACAGTAAACATGTCCAGTATTTTACATTACACACTTCAGCTGTGCTCCTACAAGACTTTGAGCTCAGCCTGAGTAGAGAGAATGACATTAACAGGAAACAATCTGACCAAAAAAACTACCAAGATACCAAGCTGAGCAAGCCTCTAACCAATCCAACGGGCATGGGGTCAGCCTAAGATAATACAGAGCTGTACCATGCACACCAGATGTTGTAGATGATGAGACATTCCTGAGAGCAAAGGCCTGGATGGTGAGGAAAGGGGATAAGTAATTTGTAAAAGGTTTATGATCTTGTGTTCTGTGAGGAATACAAAAAGAGGACAAATGGGGCAGGGCATGCAACAGAAAGAGCAACACAGAGAGCACATAATCCTCTGTTTTGGCAGAGACAACAGGGGAGGGATATCCCCATTAGTGGGAGATTAGTTTGGCAGGCCAACAGTGCCCCCAGGTGTTTCAACTTTAAACAGCCAATTTCTTTCTCTAGAGCAGTGGTTCTCAAACTAAACTACACACAAAAAGAAAGAAAATTATGTTTAGTAGATTATTTCTTTGTTGTAACTGTTACTTGGCAATACATCTTATACTGCTGGAAAGCCTGATTATTTCGCTTTTAAATGGTGCCACATTTCTAAGGAACATGCATTTGCCGGATGAGCAACTGAGCTGAGTATGTGGATTGCGCCCATGAAAAATTTGCCAAATCTTCTGACAATGCCGAACAGCTATTCTTTGCTGTTGACTATTGTTTGGTGTTTTTTGGTGGATTGAATGGAAGACATTTTATCAGGCTTTTCACCTTGCCTTTGGAAAACACTTGTCTTTAGTCGAAGTCACATGTTGTTTCAAGAATACGGCAGACTTTAGTACCTCTTTAGTAAATTGTGTTTTAAATCTGTCATTATTTCTATCCAACCCATTTACAGCTATCTCCATCTCTCAAAGAAAAATCAAATACACCACATAGCTCTAACCTCGATTGTATGTTTTGAAAAATGTGTTGTGTTTATTCATACTCTTCATGTGGCGTCACATTCCAAGGAAAATGCTCCCTTGGAGGGCAAAAAAGACGTTATTTTCCACTGCCTGCCAACCAATATGCAAGTGATACACTGTTACTTTGAGTTTGTTACTTTTTGCGTTGCCAAAATGCTGGATGGTTGTTGTGCCATGAAAATTATAGGGCTGAGAGACTATGAGCCTATACAGAGCCTGTATTACCAGGCAGTTATGAAACAGGCTAGGGAAATTAGGAAGAAGACTCCGTGTACCAAAATGCAAATCCAATCGCCTAAAATTATCATTTGTGCCAGCCTCCATTAAGCTGCTGAACAATGTAAAATAGTGCTGTGTGCAATAAATATGTGAGCACTTCTGCAATTTAATTGTGATCTCGGTGCAATAAACATACTAGCACCTTAGCATATGCACTTTACACAGACTTCAGTTCATGGAGCAATGTGCAACCATCACACTAGCACTTTAGCACTATAATCTATGGAACTATGACATTGTCAACAATGTCCTTTTTCTTCTATGTAAATATTTCCTCTTGTGAAGTACAACATGTCATGCTTCTCAGGTTCTTGTTGATGTGTTTTGTGATGTGTTATATCTTTTGTGATGTTTTTTATGAAGCAACACTGCACCGTGCCCAATCAGAATTTCCCCTTGGGGACAATAACGTTAACCTAACATAAATACCACACTGACAATCAAATAAAAACTTGAGGATTCTCTAATTGCTGGAAAGAGAACTTTGAGACCTAAAAACAGGGCCACACGCCAAAAGAGGTAAAAAAAAAAAAAAAAAAAAACCCCGCCATTGTTCACCAAAGGTAACAAGGTGGGTTATTTTGAATCAAAATGGTGTTTTCAGGTGCAAAAATTACTCTCCGAGTCAGAAGTTAACTTACAACTGATTCTGAAGTGTTGAATGCTGAACTAAGAAAACTAAACAAATTTGCATCCTGAGAGTCTGCCACTGGCCCATTAGACAGCGCTGTGCAATAGCATAAGTCAAGTTATTTCAATGCAACTCAAATGCAACTTTACAAGAAATAAAACCATCAGGTCACACATTGTGAGGATTCATCTTCTTCTCATCTTGAAATCAATAGACAACAGAGCTATGGTACTGTGCAGACTGCTTACCTCATACTTGAATGTTGCATCAAGGAGAAATTCCTGCAGCATCTTCTCTCCCAGTTCTTTGCTGGCCTGGTCACTCACAAAATGCAGGATCAACATCTCTCCTTCCAGGAAGTGTCCGTGCTTAACCATAGACAACATGGCCACCCTGAACTTGTCCTGCAGGCTCCGGCTCTTGTCCACCTTGGTGAACATCATGAGTGTGTGGTAGCGTTGGTCACCATCCCCTTTCCTGGGCCAGAATCCCACGCCCGCTCCGCCTATACCTTGCTCTTCATCTCTTTGCTCTTCAGACCCAGCTGGGTGTGAGAGCCCGGTGTCCACAGTTAAGTCTGCATCGTTTCTGTTGGTGTTGTGGCTGGCCTGGGTGTGCTTGATCCTCTTTGTAGTGCTGGAAAAGTTCTGCCTCTCTGAGCCAAAGTAGTAAAAAGCAACAACGGCAAGTGCAGCAGCCAGGAGAAGCACAAACTGATAGGACCTGAAAGTACTGATCCTACCCATGATTCTGCCTACCAATCTTAGGAAGCCCATATCTCCCTGTTGCTGTCATGTGAATGGGGTTGTGCATGGGAAAACAGTCACCATTTTGTATCCTTCCAGTTCATAGTTATTTTTCATAAGTTACCCACCTGCAAGAGAAAGAATATTCAGTTTAGTCCTTCTGGCATGTTACCTACACATTAAGCCAAAATTTTTAAAATACTACGGGTATTTATTTAGTCACAAGATGTAGTGTTGAAAACTGTACTTTTTGTTAAACTGGAAAGGAAACTTTAATGCTCCCCATAACAAGTGGTTTTGGTATGACATCTACAGCTTGATTACAATCCAAAATTAACTTTGAATAATATCCTGTACTGTCCAACTCAGGTATAAACAGCCAGATTAATTGACCTAATTTTAAATGCACCAGTCCCTGCTTTTTTGAAAGTGTCCGCTCCTGATAGAAATGTTACTAAAGTAAAACTATAATCCGGAAAATTTACTTAAAGTATTAAAAGTAAAAGTACTTACTGTAGAAAGAAAAATGTGCGACTGTTATATTATTTTAGATTAGATTATTACTTATGCATTAATGGAAATGCAGGATTATAATGCTGTAGCTGTTGAGGGGAGCTAATTTTTAACTATTTTGGATCGGACTGCCACCAATGATTATGTTCATTATGGATTCTTCTGCTGATTATTTTCTCCATTAATCGATTTTTGAAATTCTGAAAATAGTGAGCAATACCGTCACAATCACCTTCACAAGGCCTGCTTTGTCTAACCAACAGTACATAGCTCAAAATTATTACACGTTTCATGTGAAGGTGGAACCATGAAATGTTTTTACATGAAAAATGTAAAGAAAGTACAATTTCTCCCTCTGAGATGTAGTGGAGTAATAGCAGAATGTGGCATGAAAAGAAAACACAAGTAAAGTACAAGTACAGTACAGTACACAAGTAAAGTACAAGTACCTCAAATTTGTACTTAAGTTGACCTATCAGTTGACACAGTCAACCATAGGATCCTGCTATCCGCTCTCTCAGCAATGGGCATCTCGAGTAAAGCACTCCTGTGGTTCGAATCCTACCTCTCGGGGCGTTACTACAATGTTTTGTGGCAAGGACAATTATCGCCCTCCCACTGCCTCTCCACAGGGGTGCCCCAAGGCTCAGTGCTAGGGCCCCTTCTCTTCTCAATTTACACCACCTCACTGGGGCCGATCATTCGCTCGCATGGCTTCTCTTACCACTGCTACGCAGACGATACACAACTCTACTTATCCTTCCGCAAGGGCGCTCCCACCGTCTCGGCGCGGATCACGGACTGTCTCTTGGACATATCTGCATGGATGAAGGCTTCCCACCTTCAACTAAACCTCTCGAAGACTGAACTCTTGGTCATTCCAGCCAAGCAATCTATCCACCATAACATCACACTACAAATTGACTCCTCAACCATCACTCCAACCAAGGTGGTGAGAAACTTGGGTGTCATGAAACTTGGGGTCATGCCGCTTTGCTCTATACGACATAAGGAAAATCAGGCCCTATCTCACTCGGTACGCCACCCAGCTTCTGGTACAGGCCATGGTTATCTCTCGCCTTGACTACTGCAATGCCCTCCTAGCAGGTCTTCCAGCTTGTGCAGCGAAACCCTTACAAATGGTTCAGAACGCAGCAGCACGTCTGGTTTTTGATCAGCCCAAAAAGACTCATGTCACTACATTACTCACTGACCTCCACAATCAAATTCAAGTCACTAATGCTTGCATACAGAGTGACTACTGGGTCTGCACCCATCTACCTAAACTCCATAATAAATCCCTACGTTCCTTCTCGGCTGCTACGCTCCTCCAACGAACACCGCCTGGCTCTGCCATCCCTTCACACAAAGCAATCCCAGTCCCGGCTATTCTCATCTGTGACACCACGATGGTGGAACGAGCTACCACACGCCATCAGAGCAGGGGCGTCCCTCTCTAAATTCAAGAAGCTCTTGAAAACTCATCTCTTCCAAGAAAACTTCCTCTTATAACACCCCTAACCTCTAACATGCACGTCCTGTGCTCATCTTCTTCTATCCCCTACAATGATCTTGTATTGATAGCACTTTTTGTTTTGATTGCACTTTTGTTAACTCTTACTTCCTTCCCTAGGTATTTACCCCATTGATGTGATATGTACTATGAGCTCTTACTAGTACTTATTGCTGCTCTTACTAGTATGTGTCAGTTGTAGATCTGTATTTGATGCTCTGTTGATGCTTGTATGTTGTTCCTCAAATGTAAGTCACTTTGGATAAAAGCGTCTGCCAAATGAGTAAATGTAAATGTAAGTACAGTACTTGAGTAAGTTACATGAACTTAATTACTAGCCACCACTGTGTATAATACTGGATTTCCAGAGCTCTGCAGTGTTTTATATATTTCGCGCCAACGCTGCACCATATCCTAACGTTATATCCATATCCAATCTCATTGTTACCATGCACAAAAAATATTATTTACCTCAACAGAAAAGCATCCACTTGCATGTTTCATGTCGTTGATCTCTGCAGTT